ACACCAGCCGGGGAGGTGACAGCACAGCCGGGGAGGTGACAGCACAGCTGGGGAGGTGACACCAGGCAGGGAGGTGACAGCAGGCGGGGAGGTGACACCAGGAGGGGAGGTGACACCAGCCGGGGAGGTGACAGCAGGCGGGGAGGTGACACCAGGCGGGGAGGTGACACCAGGCAGGGAGGTGACACCAGGCGGGGAGGTGACACCAGGCGGGGAGGTGACAGCACGCCCTGCCCCAGCCCCTCCCCGGCGCTGATCCTGTCTCGGGGCTGCAGTGATGGCGAGCCCCCCTCTCGAGCAGGTTGCCCTGTCCAGCCTGGCCTCGAGCGCTTCCAGGGATGGAACTCGCATCCCTCGGAGGCTGCAGGGATCCTGCCCAGAGCCACCTCTCCGGACACAAGGAAGGGGTGTCCCCTCCCCTGTGGGACACAAGCCCTCGGGGCTCAGGAGCTGGCTCCTCTGCCCAGCTGCCCAGAGCGCACGGTGCCTCCTGGGGAGCTGATCTACTCAGTAAGAGGAAATTGAAGAATTTGCCGTCTCTCTGACCCCCAGGCGCTGTCCGGAGCGGTGTCTCCGCAGGTGACAGCCCCCAGCTCTGCTGCCGGGGCCGGGGAGCGGCATCGGGACGGCAGCGGCTGCTCCATCCCGGTGTGCTGGAAGGGAATGCGTGCCCAGAGACAGGAATTCCTCCCGAGGAGCAGCAGGCAGCTCTCCTGTGCCACGGACACCCCGGCCGTGGCCAGGGAGGGCAGGCCATGTTCACCGAGGATGTTCAGCCCTGGCTGCTGCTGCTGCTCCATCGGGAGCCCCACAGCCAGCACCGTGACAATGCCACCCCCCTGGACATGGGGGGACCACACAGACCCCGAGGAATTCCTATCATACAAAGGTCTTTAGAAGGAGAAAACAAACAAACAAACAAATCCCAAAAAACCACGGTATCCTTCCAAAGGCACTGAAGTTTCTTGGGTCACAGCATGGCAGATTTCATTTTGACATGCCCAAAGTTAAAACGAAGCCTGATTTAAATTCCCGGATTGTGGCTATGTCAGGGGAGTTCTCAAGCACGCACACTCGAGAGCTGAGGCGCTCAGGGGAGCTGGTCCCACCCAGATGTTCACCACTAAAAATCTCAACAGCTGGAACAGCACAACCAGGGGGTCTCGTGTGAAAGGGGGCTCGGTGGGAGCTCACACTGCCGTGGGTGCAAGAGACACCAGTGAAGTTTCTACAGGCTCAGCCAGGCTCAAGCCTTCTCCCCTCTCACAATGAACAGAAGAACAGTTTCAGGCCACGGGAACAAAAGGGCAGAGTATGCTGAATTTATTAAAATTGACGCGTCTTCCCCAAATCTGCATACAAAATACAACAGCTAAATCATTATTTACATCCAGGCAGCTGCAATATCAAGCAATAACTTTAGCAATAGTTTTAAAAATAACTCTGCAGTGTACACAGATCAGCTATTTCACAACACGAGGGTTGAAGTTAGCGCTGCACTGCTATACTTAGTTCAGAAATATTACAGTGTTCCAGATAAAATACTAATGCTTCTTTTAAAAACAGACAACTCAGGAAGTGGTTTGTAAATTGACAAAGCATGACACGTTTTTCTTAGAGACTGAGAAGCACAGCAGGCTTAGACACGATGTCATGGCTACATTCAAAATACATCCGGTCCATTTATGCCAAAAATACATTCAGTGTAAATTACAATTTATTGCACATTTCTTATATTCTGTAGAAATATACTGTACCTCAATGCTTATTCCCTGTACATTCATAAGTATTGTTCTGCCCATCAGAGCAGAACATGGACAGGTTTCCCTAAAAGCCTCAGGGCTGTGGGGTCCCAGAGCCCGTGGGGATGGAACAGACACACAGCCACGGACAGAGGAGGGGACATGATTGCAGTGCTGCTGGGGCATCCAACTGCTGGCCCAGGGCTCCCCAGGGACACCCCAAGGACACCCCAAGGACACCCCAAGGACATCCTTGACCCCACTGACCCACAGCAGGGGGTTTGAACAGTAAAAACCCAAAAAAACGGGTTTGTGCCTCTCCAGCCATGTGCCCAAAGGAGGCAGCAGAGGCACCTGCTACAGCCAGAGCCCTGCCCTCGCCCCAGTGCCACCCCTGTCCCTGTCCCTGTCCCTGTCCCTGTCCCTGTCCCTGTCCCTGTCCCTGTCCCTGTCCCTGTCCCTGTCCCTGTCCTGTGCCACTGTCCCCAGGCAAAACCCAAACACCTCCTTCCCACGAGCCAGGGGGAGCTGGGGACAGCCTCAAGGCCACCCTTGGCACAGGAGCTCCTGGCAGAAGGGACTGGGAAGAACTTTCCCTGCCCAAAGCCCAGACCCATTGTAGGGACTGGGCACATTTCTAAACTCATTTATTTACAATTCCTGAATCTAGAACCAGCAAAGAAGTGACATAGCAATGACTAAAATATTGTAGGATTCTTCAGAGTGTCATGTGAGGGAATGAGCTTGATTAAGTGCAAATTATAAAAGTAGGGAAGAGCAGAGGAGATTATAGCCTGAATTTCTCAAGGAGTGTCTGGGGGCAGCAGTTCAAGTAACTCCAAAAAAATTAGGTGTTACAGGAAACATTAATTAACTTTCCCTTCCAGTGCATAATCCCTACATTAAACTTTAGATTGTTATTAGAAGCAAATTATAAAATATTGATAACTCCTCCCATTTAGAAGCATCAATTAAGAGAGGCTGAATGTGGTGGCAGGTTTTGAGCATCCTTGACCTTGCAAATTTTCATGAGCTTAAGAACTTGTGCTTTAAATGAAGATTATGAGGAACGTTGTAACCTCTGAGGAAACCTAAGCCTCCCTAGACTGCACAGAAGTGTCTTGGCATAATGTCTGTGCTTAAATTAGAACAGGACAAACCCACATGGAGGGGAAAGGCAACTAAAACAAGGGTTCTTTGGAGTTTTTCTAAAGGAGTGTAGAGTTTACAAACACTTCAGAGCTCAGTACAACATCAGCCCCTTGGCTCAGTTATGTCCAACTCTAGTCCATCAAAATGTACATTCACCTCTCAACAGCAAGAGAAAAGAAAACCAGTGCAAAAATACTGTGTTAGGTGAAAAGCCAGGGCAAACAGACCATAATGTCAGATGCCAAGAGATGTGTCCAGGGAAAAGGTTAAAGCACGTCCAGGGCTGCAGCTGTGACCCGTGTGAGGAGTAGCTGAGCCTGAGCATCCTCCACCCACTCTTCCCAGCCAGGCACCAAAAGGGTCTGGTTCAAATAACTGGGCTGGCCAACAATTTTCAGAGACTCCAGGGGGGAAACTGAAAACTGAAACTCTTTTCCCACTTAAAAAAGTAAAGCTTTGATTCTTCCTTTTTAAGATAAGGATTTTTTAAGGTAAGTATGTTCTTGTACATACTACAAGAACAGATTCTAGATCTTAGGTTTGCAAATTTTTTTTGATAGTCAAGTGAGCACCAAGCTTTGGATCATGCAGGTGCCAAGATTACCCCTCAAAAAGCCTTCAAAGTCACATCCCTGAGCTCCTCGGGGTAGCTTGTGCACTTGAAGCACAGAAGAACTGAATCACAGAACCCCAGAATGGTTTGGGTGGGAAGAGACCTTAAAGCCTGTCCCTTTTTACCTGCCTTGGGCAGGGACACCTTCCAGCTGTCCAGGTTGCTCCAGGTCCCATCCAGCCTGCCGTGGATCTCAGATATCTCGTGATGATATCTGAGAAACCACTCTGGAGGAACAGCTGCCAGGAGTTATGGAAGCTGTGTCTGCACAGCCCACAGAGCCTGCAGGAGTGACTGAGCCCTGGGCAAACGGGCACATTGCACCAGAGCCTGTCTCTGGGCAGGCAACCCCCACGAGCATCACAAAGTGCTGAGGGTGAGGAGGTCAGGATGAGGCCGGGGGTGACGGCACTGCTGACCACGCACTCGGGAAGGGTCAAACACGCTCTTCCCTGCAATGGCTCCAGCCAAGGGATTTGCCCCCAGAGACTGATCTGGGACACTGTGATCAGCCAACAGCTGCCTGCCATGGAGCCACAGGGGCCACATCAGATTTCTGCAAGGCTTTGTTATTCTGGAAACATCTTTGGGATTCATTTCCATGGGCCAGCAGAGTTTAGAAACATTTAAAAACCGTAAGACTACAAATGCATAATTTTGCCTATTAAAAATATTCCAATGTTATATTCAGTGGCCCAAAATTCATAAAATGCCAGAACATTGTTGAATTTTAACACAGAAACTCGCTTTGCTGATATTATTTTTTGTGATATTATGGAAACCTGGTCAGAAATGTTAATATTCATCACCAGCCTGGTGCTGTTACAGAATTCTGCAAGAAACCTCTGAACAGGCTGTATTGGCTTTTGTTAAAGCTTCCCCCTAATACATCAAAAGGCACTAAAATAATTCTGCCAGTGATTGGAAAGGCATTGCTAAAAATAAATATTTTCCCAGTTTAGGTAGAATTTCTCCTGTTCCATCCCTTCACAGCTAACAGAAAAGTATTGCCTCTATTTTTTTTTCCTACCAACTGTTGAAATGAAAATTTGTCCCTTCACTGATCTGTTTGATGAAAAAAAAAGACAGAGCAAAACAACTCAAACTTTAACCATGATATTGAATGTGAAATTGAGACTATAGAAATAAATGTTAATAAGGAACTGACCCAATGGTTTTGTTCACAGTGCACACACTTATTGGAATTTCCATTTTTTCTAATTGCTTGGTTAATTATAGTAATTCAAAAAGCATTTACTGACGACCCCTTTTCAAATCCCTGCAAGAAAAAAAAAAAAAAGGTAAAAGTCTGGGTTAATTTGGTCTTTTACTTGGTTTGAGGACAGAACATGAGGTTTCTCTCACAAACAGGCGTTAACCAACACCAGACACTTCCAGGACATTTGGGGCTGACAAGGATGAAAAGCACAACAGCAAAAGGAATTTTTACACTGTCACGACTCTTCAAGCTCCTTCCTGGGATTCACCGGTGTCTGATTTACACAAAAACCCAAAGCAAGTCACGGGCTCGCTGTGTCAAACCCGAGCTCCGAGTCCCGGCTGCCTCACGCCGGGGCCCAGTGCAACTCTCTGGGTCGGTGTTCCGCCCAGAGCACCGCGCTACGGAACCACATGAGCTGAGGTAGACAGAGACAGAAATACAATCACACGTGCAAAGATGGACAGCAGAACGCCTTCCCCTCTCGTCCCGCGGCCAGGCCTCTCAGCCTTTGGAGTCCTCCAGCACGCAGAGCTGTGAGATCGTCTTCTTGACGCGCAGCGCGGTGAGGCGTGCGGCACCGCTGGCACGCCAACACTCCCGCATCAGCCGGCCCAGAACCCGCAGAGCCTGTGGGCAACAGAACCGCTACCAGGGGACAGAACCACTACCAGGGGACAGAACCGCTACCAGGGAACAGAACCGCTACCAGGGGACAGAACCGCTACCAGGGGACAGAACCGCTACCAGGGAACAGAACCGCTACCAGGGAACAGAACTGGTACCAGGGAACAGAACTGGTACCAGGGGACAGAACCGCTACCAGGGAACAGAACCACTACCAGGGGACAGAACTGGGTACCACAGCTCTGGGGACAGGAACAGAACCGGGTACCACAGCTCTGGGGACAGGAACAGAACCGGTACGAGGGGACAGGAACCGGTACCAGGGGACAGGAACAGAACCGGTACCGCAGTTCTGGGAACAGGAACAGAGCCAGTACCACAGCTCTGGAGACAGGAACAGGTACCAGGGCTCTGGGGAACAGAACCAGGTGCCATGGCTCTGGGGACAGGAATAGAGGGACAGGAACAGAACCAGGTACGACAGGACAGGGGACAGAAAAGGCACCAGGTACAAACAGGATCTGCAGGGGACAGACAGCAGCCAGGGTTACAGCCACCACCCCCTGCTTTCCAGTTTCAAAACAGGGAGATAAATTGCAGCTCTCTGAAATGGTGACACAACAGCAGCAGCATCAATTAAGACCTGCCTTGGACAGCACTGAGCACTTGGTGCACAGAGTTTTCTGTGTATTGATCTGAAGGACAACTAGACATCTGAAGCTTCTAAATTCAGGAGAAGCCAGGCGTTGAGTGCCCTATCTCTCACTGAAAAATTCTGTCTTAATTTAAACTTGAACATATAAATAACAAAATAAAGTAGAAAAAAAACTTACAAAATGAACATAGAATAAAGTAGAAAACTGCTTTTACCTCACAGCTTTGCCACTGGTTTGGAATACTTGGTCTGAGCTTCTGTTCACAGACAACCCTTCTCATATCTTCTATCGAAGGATCAGAAGGCACAAGGTCGTAGTAAGGCAACTGGTATTCCTCAGTGACTCCTGGGGAAGATTTATTGTGTAGGTGGCCATGGCAGGGGTGGAACAAGAAGAGCTTTAACGTCCCTTCCAACCCAAAACGATCTGGGATGAGATGAGAATCCAAAGCCTCACCTCCAACGGAGCACCTCCGGGCTATCTCCCAGTACACCAGCCCCAGGGAGTAAATGTCTGCACGCTTGAAGGACTCAAAGATGTTCATGTTCATCGCGTCGTCCAGGATCTCCGGGGCCATGTACCTTCGGGGCACACAGGCTCAGTTTGCCGGGGCAGCTCCCACAAAAGGCCACAGCCGTGCTGCCACGTGCCAGGGCCCCTCGTGGTGCTGGCAGCTGTGCCCCGAGCACCAGGGTGACCAGGGTGAGCGGCACACGATGCCCCAGTGGGCAGAGAGCTCCATCCCACAGCAGGCTCTGCTATGGGTGATCACCCGCCCACCCCGCGGTGGCCGTCCCTGCCCGATGCCAGGGGCAGAGGGGACAGATGGGGGCACGGGCTGAGGAGCCATCCCCAGGGAGCCACCGCTGCCTCACCCACCTCCGGGTGCCCACCCGGGGGTTCTGGGGGATGTCGATGGTGTTGAGCACCGAGTCGTGCTTCACTGCCAGCCCCAGGTCAGCGATGGCGCAGGTCTCGTTCCTCTTCACCAGGATGTTCTTGGATTTCAGATCCCGGTGTGCGATCGCTGGCTTCCCTGTCCACAGCAAGAGAAACCGCCTCCAATTTTGATAACAACAGTGTGGATTTTAATATAATGAGCAAGGATGTAAAAATGGATTTATTCACTTTTGTTACTATACCCTGTAGAAATATTGAAGCTTATTTTGAACAGAGTAAAGCTCTGCTAAGTGTTGTCAACTTTGAAAGAAAACTTTAAGGGTATTTTTGTTTCAATATCTGTATTTCAGAAAAAAAATACAAAAAGAGAATCTGGGAGATCACCCTCCAAATTTATTTAGAAAATTACAGAATCACTGAATGGATTGGGTCAGAAAAACCCTCTAAGAACACCGAATCCCACCATTCCTCAGCACTGACAAGGCCACCACTAACCCATGGCCCCAAGTGCCACATCCACACAGCTCTTTAAGGGATGGTGACCCCACCACTGCCTGGGACAACCTGTGCCAAGGCTGGACAAACCTTTCCATGAAGAAATTTTTCCTAATTTTTCCTTCATTAGCTCTCATTCCCATTCAGCAGAGCTGCTTCTCCAGGCATTTCTTTAAAGGCAATGGGGTGGGAAGGGAACGTCCCTCTTCCCAGTCTGTACTGCATCACTCACATTCACACGGTTCCCCCTGGTGCTGACACTTTGAAAACACTTCACCATACCATATCACCCATAAATGATTTTGAGAACAATGAAGCTCCTTAAAATACTTGAAGGAGAAGTGGGAGGGAAGCACTTGCCTTGCGTGCCAACGATCTCCATGTGGAGGTGGGCCAGGCCACTGGCCACCGAGAGTGCCAGCCTGACCATGCCCTCCACCGTCACCGTGCCCCTGTTCAGGTAGTCAAACAGGGAGCCCTGCTCGTGGTACTCGGAGACGAGCCAGAGCTGAGTCCACGTCCCGTTATCTGGCCAGAGGAAGCAAGAGTAATGAAAATATTAGCTGGGAAAACCTTCCCCTTGTCGGGGAATGCAAACAAGTGTGCCAGCTGTGGCACCAGGAAGGAGCTCGGGGCACCACAGCTCAGGGTGCTTTCAGATGGAGCGGGGGCTGAGACAGACACTCTGGAGTTAGTGAGTGTCATCACTGGGGCTGGGAGGAGTTCTAGCACCACAGAGTCCAATGTTACCCCAGCACTGCCAAGGCCGCCGTGCAGGAGCAGAGAATTTTCCGGGTGGGAGAAGGTCGGTAAGAGGCGGGCAGCTCACCCTTGTTGTCGGCAGCAATGAAGCCCAGGATATTCTCGTGCCTCAGCATGACCGTCTGGTAAATCTCTGCCTCCCGGAACCAGGAGCGCTCGTCCCTGGAGGAGAAGATTTTCACAGCCACGTCCTCCCCGCACCATTTCCCATGCCAGACTTCGCCAAATCGTCCTTTTCCCACAATCTCCTGCAGGACGATCGTCCTCGCGATGGTTCTCTGGACCAGCAGAGGCAGACCTGGTGAAAAAGAGAGACAGGTTCCTGTGAAATAGCTCAGCTGGGACCTTCAAACCCCAACACTGACCTCTCCCACTGAGCTGCACTCATGGCTTTGCTTTCCAAGACTACCAAGGGAAAATCGTCTCCCAGCCAATATCTCCTCAAATCAGAATTTTTGATGTTACTTCCCAGTGTTTGTACATAGAAAAAACTTTTTTAAACTCCAGTAAAAATTTTAAAATTTGGTCCAAACTACTCAATTTGATTTGATACAGACTGCAACTGTCCTGCAGTCAAGTAATTGCTCTACTCCAGCTGAAATATTTGAAATTAAAATAAAATATTGTAGCAGCTCCACTGTGCTTTGCCAGCCACAAATCCTGCCTGGTTTGATTTGATTCTGTGTTTGTTGGGGACTTACAACAGGGAATTATTAATTTTTTTCTTTTTTATTTTTTTTTAATAACTGCAACCTTGATTTTGGCTGAAGTCAGAACAAATCACCCTGGTGCATGGGGCTCTGGCTCAGCTCAAGTCCAGCCCTGTTCCTGGCTCAAGGATGGCTGGGAACAGTTAAAAACTTCAGCATAAATAAAGCCAAAGTCTGCTCATTGGAGCTGTGAAAAGGCATTAGGGAAGAACAACAACTTAATCCTCAGAGGTATGCAGCTCATGGAAATAAATTAAATTTGGCACCATTTGTACATTTTTCATTTACAAATAAAAGCAAGCATAGTTTACATACCTTTCAAAAAAAGTTCTAGTTAGGGAAGCTGGGCTATACATCTCAGACATGCCACTGGTCAAATGAGCTGGAATTTGTGAATTTCCACCTCATTTTCAGGTTTCTTTGGTTTAACAAGTTCTCAGTAGCAATGGGGGTATCACAGTAGGCCAGAAATGGGAAAAATGTTAAAAAGATGAATGTTCTGCTCAAAACAAGGATTTGGAGGAACATTATTCTGCTCTGAAACACAAAACATTCCAGAAGCAGCATCCTGTCCTGCTCGGGTGAGTTTAGCACCTTTCAATATCAGGCAGCAGCACTGGGTTTCACACTTGATTCTGATTTCCGAGCTCCCATTTTTACAGCCTCCATTCCCAGAAGGAAGGGAATTTTTGCAGTTTGACAGAGGAAGAGCTCCCAAAGCCCCACCACGGCGGCGAGGGGTGGCCACAAGCAGCGGCACAAAGCCTGGGTGCCGGGCAGGGCACCCCACGTACCGGAGCCCGAGCCAGAGGTGGTCATGTCGTAGATGAGATCCTTCAGCGTCTTCCCGGAGCTGGCCAGGCTGGCCTCGCACAGGGGCTCCTCCACGTTGGGGGGCTTGGCCCCGCGGTGCCGCCGGCCCCGGGCCGTGCAGGCCCCCAGCAGGGCCAGCAGCACCAGGGCACACACTGGCACCGCCACCGGCACCGCCAACGCCGCCGAGCGCCGCGCCACTCTGCCAGGAGCCTCGGATGCTGCACGGGGACAAGGGACAGCGTGACACACGGGCCTGGGACAGGGCTGCACAGCAGTGACACCGCCACAGTCACAGGCACCACCAGGCCTTGGCAGGCTCCCAGGAGCACAGGCTGGCTTAAAGGAATAAAGCAGGGATTTATTAAAAGCCCTTCCAAGGATGCACCGTGGGCAGTACAAGAGCCCGGCCAAGGCTACACCCAAGATGGATCCCAGGTCAGGAATTTTCACACTTTTATAAGTTTTGGTCCATTTCCACACTGGGGTTAATTGTGCAATTACAGCTTCAGGTGATGCAGTCTCATCCTCCCAGTTTGCTCTCCTCAATTTGCTTTTTTTACACTTTTTGGGCCTGAAGTTGGAACGGTGTCCTTGGTTCTGGGGCTGAAAAAGGACCATCAGGGGAACTTGCTAACACTTTATATGAAGCTCAGAGTTATGTACCATTAGTAAAAATCTGGAAAATATGAAAGCTAAAAATTAAGGCATCAACTAGGTTGGAAGAGACCTTTAAGAGCACTGAGTCCCACCCAGCCCTGGACACCTCAACCAGCCCAACCATGTCCTGGCCAGGAGACAGAACAGACAGAACAGACCAGGTTTCTGTAAGTGATGGAGCCTTTCCCCACACAGCTTTTGTGCAGAAAGCTTGGTCTCAGGTCAGCATTCTGATCACCACCCAAGGAGCTCTGTATCAAGAAGCTCTAGGAAGACCCTGTTAAGGGATTCACTGGCACATGAACACACACATGATACCTTTATTCTCAATGCTCAGAATCATGAGTACAAACAGGATCTCAGGGCAGCAGAAGATGTAAAAATCACAAACTCCACACCATGCCAGGTCACTCCTTCCCTTCAGGGAGATGCTGGGCCACATGCGCACCATAACCTGAGTTTGAGAGTGACCAAAGTGATGTGGGGTCTCAAAAGCATCAGGAAATGAGCTCAGCACCCACTGCTACCTTCCTCCAGTCAATACCACATGTCTGTTCACCAGCACAACTCCAAGCCTCCTGAACACAAAGCTGGAACATTTCGTTCACAGGGTTTTCCTTTAATGACTTCAAGAGGCTGCTCCAGGAGTGACCTGGGAGGTTTGTAAAAGGATTTATGAGCATGATTCCTCCTTGGAACTGCTGCTTGTTAACTGGCATGCCAGGATCTCCTAAACATTTCTCATCCTGTTTCTACAGGGCTGAAACCCCTGTTTCCCTGAGACAGGGATGGAGTACAGTACAGAGAGATCCCCTATCCCAGGAGCTCCAGTGCCTCACTGAACCTGCCCTGCCACCCCAGGCTGGGCAGGGGACCCTGTGCAGGGCAGGGCTGGCTCTGGGCAGGGACAGGGACAGGGCAGGTTGGGCAGGGACAGGGACTGGGCAGGGGTGCAGCCTTTGAGCCAGAGCAGCTCAGCTCCACGGAGAAGAGCTGAAGGGTGGGTTCCTGTCCCAGAAGGACACAAAGGTCCTGCCTCAGCGAGCAGGGATGGGCACCATGCTGGACCTTCTCAGGGTTTCTCCTCCTCCAGGAGAGTCACTGCTGCCTAAAGGGAAGTTTTTCATGCTCACATGCTCCACTTTTAAACTAGAATTTGCTTAATGGGGATAGACAGCTCAGCAGGTAAGTGTGTAGATGCATAATACATATACACACATCAAGAAATAGATATATACACACACAAAGGGAGATATAGGGTTATATATATATTATATAGATAGATATATAAGGGATTGATAGAGAAAATAGAACTAGAGAGACATTGGAACAGAGAGACAGAGATAGGTACAGTTAGATAAAGATAGATGATACAGACATTCCATATGCAGGTGTCTGTCCCAAGTGCCACTTGTCAGGTGTCTGAGACAAGGGACTGACCCCGGAGCTGTCCCCACGCCACTTCCTGACAACATGAACAGCGTGAGGAGGGGAAAAGGCCAGCACAGAAACCACACTGGCACTGCCACAGTTCCAGCTGACACGAGTTCCCCCAAACCTTTAGAGCAAAGGGAAAGAATTCAGTCTGGTTTTTTGGGTACTGAAATATGAAACTAGAGGTTTTGCAAGTCCCAGTTCAAGTGCTGGAACAACAGATTGCCTCTGCTGCTCCTCTAGAAATAGCAGCTTTCTTCCCAGCTTGGAAAAACCACCATGGCACTTTATTTCTAGAGCATGACCACAATTAGTGTGTCCCTTCTGTGGCCAACTGAAAGAAAAACAACGTCCTAGGGTCACTTTATGATGCTTGTATCCCCAGTCATCTGTGGGGATACAAACATCACATGAATTATCCTCAGCACCAATTAAATAATCCTTATTGCTGCCCCACGGGCCAGGTGAGGTTGGGTACCAGGGTTCACCAGGAGGTGACAGTGCCCAGGGCTCCCACAGCTGCTCCCCCATCGTCTGCCCAGCAACAGCCTTTCGAGTTCTATTAAGAACTACATGATGGCATCTTCAATTCAAGTTATAATTTTAAATTGTGTATTCATTTGCATCTTTTTTACCTGTAACATATCTCGCTGCTGTAAGTATATAATAGAGTATTATCTGATAAAATAGTATATTTTACACCTTTTTTTAAGAAAAGCCTGGAATAAGAACATATCTTGGAAAAAAGAATAACAAAAATGAAAATTATGCTAAGAAGAGTATAAATATTTATTTTTAGAAAGCAGCAAATCAACTTCATTACACAACTTTGAGCCTGGCAGACTCTCACACTGCACCAGCTGGGTACTGCACGTGGTTCCTGGGAGTGCCAACCCTTTTCCTCCCTCTCATCAGGACCAGGAATCTCACAGCTTCTCACCCCTGCTGAGCCACACTCGGTGACCTTGACGTGACACCGCTGTGACACCGCTGTGACACCGCTGTGACACCGATGTGACACCACTGTGACACCGCTGTGACACTGCTGTGACACTGATGTGACACCGCTGTGACACCGATGTGACTCTGATGTGACACTGATGTGACACCGCTGTGACACCGCTGTGACACCGCTGTGACACCGCTGTGACACCGATGTGACTCTGATGTGACACTGATGTGACACCGCTGTGACACTGCTGTGACACTGATGTGACACCGCTGTGACACCAATGTGACACTGATGTGACACTGATGTGACACCGCTGTGACACTGCTGTGACACCGCTGTGACACCGCTGTGACACCGATGTGACACCACTGTGACACCACTGTGACACTGATGTGACACCGCTGTGACACCGATGTGACACCGATGTGACACCGATGTGACCCCAATGTGACACCGCTGTGACACCGATGTGACCCCGATGTGACACCGCTGTGACACCGCTGTGACACCGATGTGACACCACTGTGACACCGCTGTGACACCAATGTGACTCTGATGTGACTCTGATGTGACCTTGATGTGACACCGCTGTGACACTGCTGTGACACTGATGTGACACCGATGTGACACCAATGTGACACCAATGTGACACCGATGTGACTCTGATGTGACCCTGATGTGACCCTGATGTGACACCAATGTGACACCAATGTGACACCGATGTGACACTGATGTGACACGTATGTGACACCAATGTGACACCGCTGTGACACTGCTGTGACACCGATGTGACACTGATGTGACACCAATGTGACACCAATGTGACACCACGGTGACACCGATGTGACACCGTTGTGACACCGATGTCACCCTGATGTGACACCGCTGTGACACCGTTGTGACACCGCTGTGACACCGATGTGACACCGATGTGACACCACTGTGACACCAATATGACACCGATGTGACACTGCTGTGACACCGATGTGACACCAATGTGACACCGCTGTGACACCGATGTGACACTGCTGTGACACCGCTGTGACACCGCTGTGACACCGTTGTGACACCGCTGTGACACCGATGTGACACCGATGTGACACCACTGTGACACCAATATGACACCAATGTGACACCGCTGTGACACCGATGTGACACCAATGTGACACCGCTGTGACACCACTGTGACACCGCTGTGACACCGATGTGACACCACTGTGACACTGCTGTGACACTGCTGTGACACCGCTGTGACACCGATGTGACACCGCTGTGACACCGATGTGACACTGCTGTGACACCGATGTGACACCAATGTGACACCGCTGTGACACCGATGTGACACCACTGTGACACCAATGTGACACCGCTGTGACACCGATGTGACACCGATGTGACACCGCTGTGACACCGATGTGACACTGCTGTGACACCGCTGTGACACCGATGTGACACCAATGTGACACCGCTGTGACACGGACGTGACACCGCTGTGACACCGATGTGACACCAATGTGACACCGCTGTGACACCGATGTGACACCGATGTGACACCGATGTGACACCGCTGTGACACCGATGTGACACCGATGTGACACCAATGTGACACCAACGTGACACCGCTGTGACACCGATGTGACACCAATGTGACACCGCTGTGACACCGATGTGACACCGATGTGACACCAATGTGACACCGATGTGACACCAATATGACACCAATGTGACACCGCTGTGACACCAATGTGACACCGCTGTGACACTGCGTGACACCGCTGTGACACTGATGTGACACCAATGTGACACCGCTGTGACACCGATGTGACACCGATGTGACACCAATGTGACACCAATGTGACACCATGGCCCAGCTGCCTCACAGGCTGCTCACATCAACCACGGCACCCAAGGCTCAGGCTGCTGAAACCGCACCAACCAAAGATTCCCTGGCAGTGCCCTGGGGTCTGCCACCGATCCTGCCCCCAGGAACCCCCTGCTCCAAGGACATCGACACCAGCCTCTGGGGTGCCTTCAGAAACACAAGAAATTCCCTCTGCTGAAAACACAGCTGCAGCTGATATTTTGGTGTGTGGACAAGCTGGGACAAAAGCAGCTGTGTGCTGCAGGCAGCCTGTGAAGGCCCCAGGACGGGCTCCCACCGCCGGGCCCCCGCCCGGGGTCTGGTCCCCAGCACTCACCGAGGGGCAGGCGGAGGGTGATGTTGTTGCAGAAATCGGTGTAGCAGCACTCGGTCTTGGTGACGTTCTTGGAGCTGTGGCAGAAGACCTGGGCGTTCAGCTCGGGCAGGGAGACACAGGACTTGACCACCTCCTCACGCCCGTTGGTCAGCATCACCGAGGCCCAGCAGGCGCCCTCCGTCTGGCACGTGAAGTTGGTGTGTTCACACAGCTGGCACACGCACTGCAGGCCTGGGGAACGGGGAATAAATGGCCTTGGGAACCAGGCCCTGGCACATGAAATTGGTGTGTTCACACAGCTGGCACACACACTGCAGGCCTGGGGAACAGGGAATAAATGGCTGTGGGGACCAGGCCCTGGGGACTAGGCCGTGGGGCCAAGCCCTGGTACAGCAGAGCCCTGAGATGGCTGCAGGAGGCCGGCCCCAACACTCACACATGACAAGGTCTTAAATCTTGGTCCCGGGGGATTTTATAGGTGGCAGCAGTCTCTTGTGGTGGACTGGGCATCACAAAAAGCGGTTCTGAAAGCTGCTGCTGTCTCCCAAAGGCACAGCACCCACTGCCCGTGGCAGTCCCTGCCCTCAGCAGCAGCAGCCCGGCTGTGCCAGGGCTGGATGTGAGAGCCACCAGACACAGCACCCCCAGACAGACACGGACAGAACAACAGACTCCTCCTGCCCTTGTCTCCACACGGACAGAATGACAGACTCCTCCTGTCCCCTTGTCTCCACACGGACAGAACGACAGACTCCTCCTGTCTCCTGAGATGAGGAACCTTTTCCAGGCAACCCTTCCCGGGTCAGCTCCAGCTCTGCAAGTCTGGGCCCTGCTCAGGACAATAATTCTTGCCATAAATCTTTGTTTCTTTTGGAATCGGGGAGAGTGGCGTTCTTTTATTTAAGGATAAGAGAGAGTTGAAAAGGAAAACATGGGTTAGTGGTGGGCTTGTGAGTGCTGGGGGTACAGCTGGGCTCGATGATCTTGGAGGGATTTTCCAGCCTAAACCATTCCATGATTCTGCAGTCTCAGAGTCCCTGGAGGAGCGCAGAAGTCCTGACTGATGTCAGCACAAATCTGATTTCTGTTTCTGTGACAGTCTTCACTTCCCTTACAACAATCTCCATCCTGTGCCACCCTTCTCAAGCAGCAGCTGGTGGTGTTTATCTCCAGCTCCACCCCAGACCTCCCTGGCACGGTGTGTCCGTGTTTGTCCGGGGTGAGGGAGCACCAGGAGCTGCTGCCTCGGCTCTCCCTCGGCACAGGAGCAAGCGCCATCCTTCACACACAGCACAACAGGCAAATCTCTCCTTAAAGACATTACCCTGCTCCTAGAACTGCTGCCAGGAGCAAGACTCATCAGACCCAAATAAATCAGAGATCTAGCGGAAGGAACACAGGCACATCATCACCAAAACTGCAAAATAAAAGCATTATTGAGGAAATGAGTCGAAGATTGTGGCAAGTGTCTTCGGGGCTTTAGACACGTCATTATGGTGTTTTTCTCCCTTTCTCACAGTCTAAAAATAAAATAGAAAATTATCTTTATTGCATCATCTGCATGGATAACTGACAGATTTATCCATACTCTGCACTTGCACATCACTTGAGAGCAGAGCTGACCAAAACTGTCCCTGCACATCACGAGCAGCTCCAGGGGCCCCATCTGAGGATGGTTGAGGAGCTCTGTACCCTCCCCCTGACCACTGACACAGCCACTGCCACAATGACAGCGCCACCAGGTCCTGCCCTGACACAGGGGGAAATGGAAACGGCAAATGTACGGCAGCTTCTGTAGCTGAATCTGTTCACAGACAAGATCAGAGCTGGAGTTTTGGGAAAGACAACTTTCCTCACAGAAGACCTTCACAGACCACTTTTAAATATAATTCTACAAAAGCAGAAGCCTCAGGTTCCTCAGAAAACTGCCTGTGCTGCTGGCTGACTCCTCATGTAGAAAAATGGATAGAAATCACAAACCAGATACGAATTCCTGGCCCCGTTTTCAAGAGCATTTGTGTGTGCCCAGAAGCCTTTGTCAGAGCAGGAAGATGGCTGAATACAAGCACAAAAATCCAGGTTTCTTGCACCTGTGCTACTTCAGCTGCCTCAGCTCTTGTGGAATCAGGGGGGGAGCCTGGGCTGTTTTGAACATGCCTTAGGAAGATCCAGGCTTTTCTCACTCCCATCCCACTGAGCAGGGGAGGTGACAAACCCAGTGTCACATCCTCGCTGTGCCTCCCACGAAGCCCTCACAGACACCTGTGCAACCACTCCTGCTCCTGTGTCCCATCCCTGCTGACACCCTCAGGGACACAGCTGTCACCAGAATTTGTGCTGTATCTGTTCTGCTCCATCAGGAAAGCCCCAGTGCTGCTCCCGGTTTTTCACAACAGCTCCTTCCCTTGGAGAGAATTGTCCGTGTCAGTTCCATAACCAGTGCACCTACAGCCACTGGCAATGTACCCCCAGTTTCACATCACACATCTGGATCATTTCTGCTCTCAATTGCCTCCACTGCTGTCCCAGAGGAGCCAGGAAGGCATTTCCCTCAGCTTACAGACCAGAGGGCTTACAGCACCGTGATGGAAGAGCTTCCTCTCCCTATCCAAGGCAGCAGCTCCTCTGAACTGTTTCCCCTCCCACAGAGCCATTTTACATCATGAGAGAAGAGGAAGAATTTGCAACTATTGACTGAAATTCTGCAGTCCTTACATGCAGCAAGAAATGTTTCCTCCCTCCCCAAACCCACTCCTGAATCCTGGCAATGCCACTGGTGATTCACTGTCTCAGGGCAAAAGTCAGGATTCCCACACCCTGGAAACCAAGGAATGCAATAAGGTGAGTGTCAAAGAGTTAAAGGATCAAAGAGGCAGGAGTAAAATGCACTCACAAACTTTCAAAATAAGGCACTTTTTAATCTGGTAATGAACTCAACTCCTTTATTTACTCAAGTACAACAATTCCATTAAAATGTTCCATCCTCTGGTTGAGAAATCAGGAGAAAGTGAACAACTGGAACACGGCTGCAGAGAGTATGCCAGGCACCCAAACCTGGCCACCCAGGGTGCCAGCTCCCTGGGCATGGAACTGTGCAGCACCCACTGCCAATGTGCCCTGACCCTGCCCAGGGCCCAGCGGGACCACAGACAGCACAGGGGACAGGACAGGGCAGGACAGCACAGGGGACAGGACAGGGCAGGACAGGACAGCACAAGGGACAGGACAGGACAGGACAGCACAGGGGACAGGACAGGACAGGACAGCACAGGGGACAGGACAGGACAGGACAGGGGACAGAACAGGGCAGGACAGGACAGGACAGCACAGGGGACAGGACAGGACAGGACAGGACAGCACAGGGGACAGGACAGGACAGGACAGCACAGGGGACAGGACAGGGTAGGACAGGACAGGGGACAGGACAGGGGGACAGGACAGGGGACAGGACAGGGGACAGGACAGGGTAGGACAGGACAGGGGACAGGACAGGACAGGGGACAGGACAGGGGACAGGACAGGGCAGGACAGGACAGCACAGGGGACAGGACAGGGCAGGACAGGACAGGGGATGGCACAGCACAGGACAGGGGACAGGACAGGACAGCACAGGGGACAGGACAGGGCAGGACAGGGGACGGCACAGCACAGGACAGGGGACAGGACAGGACAGGACAGGACACCACAGGACACCACACCCCACAGGCTCCCTGCAGCAGGGACAGACACACACAGGGACAGAGGGTCCCCTCCCGAGGGCAGCTGGCACTCTCAGGACCCAGCCAGCAACAGCAGAAAGCAGAGCCAGGCGAGGGGGAGATGCACACACTGGCACAAAGGAAAGCAGCTTTTGCATTCAGAGACCCCAGGAGCAGATGTTTCCTGGGGTGGGCATTTTTAAGACATTCGTGGTTTTCAAGGAGATTTTTCCTGCTGTTATTGCAATAGGAGCTGGGACTACACACCAGATTCTTGGATGAGTCCCACCATGAATCAAGGGCAGGATGACTTGGTCTTCAGAGAAGAAAATCTGCCTGACTTACCTAAGAAGTGACATTTCCTGGCTTTCAGTTCTCAGTGAACTGCCAGGAAACACACAGGACAGGCAGACGTGCCATGCACTGAGCTTACAGAGCAGGAGGAACAGAGCCAGCACCTGATTCCCAACAAACCAGCACAGAAGATTTCTGTGTGCTTCCACCCCTTCGCCAGCAAGTGTCAGCATCAAGTACATGAATCACAAGATAACTGAGGAACAAGTGTGATACTACACGGGAACAAGAGATGGAAGAACTGGAGTTTAAACACCAGCTTCATGGAGACAATGAATAATTTAAACACACTGATAGACAGTGCAACTTCAGAAGATAAATGGAAGGAATTGAACACTTAACACAAGCCCGCTGATACCACAGGGCTAACAGAACTGAACTAAAATCTCTGGGGGACCAAAGCCCAGACCTGCCCTCTCTTGTGAACCACACAAGGTTTGACATTTCAGCACAGACTTTTTACTACACAGATAACAGAGCATTAATATTCCACTAAGTCACAACCCATCACTGCTCACCATAGTTATCAGTAGAACATTTCAAAATTAAATTGGAAAGCAAAGTTCTAAGGGGCCTGGGGGGAGGAACTGCTGAATATCCAGAACGTTTCCATCTCTGATCGTTCTGTACCGTCATTGTCTACTGTGCCCTTCTAGATACACTTCCATTTCATTTCCAAAGAACAGGTCTGGGGCTCCCATGGCTGTGGGCTCCCCACACTGCCTGGATCCCCTGCCTCAGGCACAGACCCCAGTGCCAGGCACAGCTGCCCCTGGGCCACCTCCAGCCCTGGGGATGTTCCCACACCACAGGACACATTCCTGGACCTCACTGACTGGACTCAGAAGGGTCCCAGGTGACAAAACTTGCACTGGGGGACAAAGGGGCTCAAAGCAGATCCTAAAAATTACTGGTTTTTGACTGGCTGTTTTCCATTTTCCTGCCCCTTGCTGGTGATGGAGCCAGGACAAAAACCAGAGAAGGTACCGGCAAAGCTGCCGTAGGGTGGGTGTGGGTCTGGCACAGCCCCTGGTTCTCCAAGGGCACAATTGCTGGGAACTGGCCATGGCAGAGAAACTCTGCTGCCACCAGAGTGATCTTCCCCTGAGCCAGCCTGTTCTCTGGCAGCAGCTGGGGTCTGAGGCAGAGAGAAGCTCAGCATGCGAGGCCGTGGCACAGGAGCGTGGGCTGAGCGCTCTGGGAAGGGAAGCAGTAAATGGGTAACAGGGGCTGCTGAAGGCAGGACTGACTTCAGAGCATTGCAAAACAATTTCATCACGCAACCACACAATTGTTTGGGTTGGAAATGCCCTCTGAGACCGAGTCCAACTGCTCCTCCATCTCTGCCGAGGCCACTACTAACCCAAGCCCCCATGTGCCATATCCACACAGCTGTCAGAGCCCTCCGGGGTGGGGACTCCATCACTGTCCCGTGCTGAGGGACCAGAGGACAGTAACATCACACAGAACAGCCTCAGCTGTGCCTGGGCAAGGACCAGCTCACTCTCATCCCCACTGGGAACAGAGGGCTGTGCATCCCTGGGGAGCACAGGACAACTCCACAGCTCGTGGTGAGAGCACAAGCAGGAGACACCAGGAGAAGATGCAGCCCTGTTCTGCCATGTGGGGTCAGATGCTGTCACCCACCTCAGAAAGGCACAGGAGAAGTAGGAAGAGTTTCAGGACAGTGAGCAAGGGATAGATTAAGAATCTGGGCTGTCATGCCAAAGGCAGCTCTGGAGAGGTGTGAAGGCTCTATGAAGACATGAGAGCACACTTAGAAGATGAATGGGGTGGGGTACTCAGCAGCTCACACTCACTCAGGAGCTCTGGGCAGCCCAGGTGTCAGTGGCAGCACACTGACACGAGCAGGAGAAGCTCTCCTTGCCCTCAGGCAGCCCCAGTGCCCGTGCAAGTGCCACTGCTTGGAAGAGCTCAGGTGCAGCCACAAGCACAGCCAGTGCCCCCTGGGCATCTGGACACCCCCAGAACTGCAGCAGCTCTCCAGGCTGCAGCTTGCAGCCAGCCCTGGACCCAGTGCTGAGTGCATCCCATCCTCCCTGCCCGCGGTGGCACGGCAGGGACGGGCCCAGCCCCGCGGAAGTGACACTGCTGGCCCTGAGAAATTCATTCTCTTGTGACACATTTCTTCAGAAGGCAAAACCAGAATTTGGAACAATGACAGATCTTAAAAAAACCAAACCTGCTTTTTGGACTATCATTAAAAATATGGAAAAGTTCCCCCTCTGAAGAGGGCTCTGAAAGAAAACAGTTGGAGTAAAATCCCTCATATAAATATACTGTAAAAAGGGCTGACACCAAACAGGACAAACACTAGAAAGTTGTAGAAAAGAGAGGAAAAGTATTTGTTCTAGAATTGAGGAAAATATCTTTGAATGAGAGACATCACAGAGCTCCAGAGTTTTGAATTCTTAAATAAACATCTGGGGAGTGATATATATATATATATATACACATATATATAATAAATATATATATAGTCATAATATGTATATATATAGAGTCATTTTGGAAGGAAGGTACTGGATGCTCAAAATCCCCATTCCAGGAAAGCTCAGCAGCCAAGGCAAAACCAGAGGCAGGAGCTGAGTCCAGGCATTGAAATTAATACTAACAGGACAGGAAAGGGCTACAAGACCCAGGGAAATGACATTTGTTGGAATAAGCTGCCAAAGGACATTTTTAGGTTCGAACAGGCGAGGTACCCTTGGGAAGGTTGTGCTTTACGGGGCATGAGTGACACAGCAGAGCGCTGTGAGTGCAGGGATTTTGTGTAACACAGGACCTGCACAGAGCTGAGGAGGAACCTGCTGGTCCCAGTCCTGAGGGGCTGAGGGCAGGCTCAGCACAGGTACAAACTCCATGGGGAGGCAGCTGAGATAAGCCAGCACTGACCCACTGCCACTCTGGAGCTGCTTGCATAAGAGAGTCCCCAGCACTGAAAGCTCCTAAAGTCACATCTGAGCAGTTTGACCAGGAATTTTCCACACAGACAGTCACACAGACTGTCCCCTCTGTCACCACACGTCTGCCTGTCGGGTCTGTGCACACCCTCTGGAACAGGGTGAGGACAAGAGGACCCTGCCCTGCACCTTTGGGGAGCAAAGCAATGCAAGACTTTTATACCCAAATGGAAGGCAATGCGGTTCCTCAGCGCTCTGGATGCTCTCCAGAGGGAAGTGGTGACGGCCACTGGCAATGCTCCGCTTTAACTCGGGCACACCGGGAAAACAAGGGCTGCCCTGTCTCGGGGGCTCACTCCCAAACCCGGATAACAACGCTAGAGGAACAGGAAGAGCTCTTGCGGAGCAGGTTTTACACCCTGTGGAGATGCCAGAGGTCACCCCATGTGCAGCACCACACAGAGGTACTTCACAGCCCGCAGCCCAGCTTTGCCCGAAAGCAGGGGTTCCGTGGCTGCTGGATGGGTTCTGTGGGTGCCTGGGGGCACGGTCCTGGGGCTGGGACCGGGACCGGGGCTGGGACCGGGACCGGGGCTGGGACCGGGGCTGGGACCGGGACCGGGGCTGGGACCGGGACTGAGACCGGGGCTGGGACCGGGGCTGAGACAGGGGCTGGGACCTCCCCCTCTGCGAGGTCCCAGTGAGCATCGCACAGAGAAACTGCTCGGGTCAAAATAGGGAGAGAAGGGTAAAATCCAGTAAAGCAAATAGAAAAACTAGAAAATATTCTGTGCTGCGCTGCCTTGCTTACCGCTGGTTTGCAGAGCGCGGGTTTAGGTTTTAAAGAGACGATTGAGGGGAGGAAGAGTCTCCCAGCGCCTGCCCGATGGGGCACGGGCACGGCACGGCACCGGGACAGGTCCTCTCACCGGGACCGATGTCGCTCCGTCCGAGCATCCGTCCCCGAGCCGGAGCCCCGGGGATGGCGTGGGAAGCTCCGGGGATCAGGGATTCCTGCCCGGGGCCGCTCCGGTAAATCCCCGCTGACACAGTTCTCGGTCCCCGCCGCCGTGATTAAAGCGCCGAGAGCCCGAACCCCCCGAGGGGCGGCGGCGGCACGGCGGGGATGGAGGAGCGGGGTTCCAGCGCAGCGC